ATATTTGACCATCTAGCGGCCTTAGGCCCATCCCGTCACCGTGCCTGTATTGTGGGTGAGAGGCATCTTGGAAATTCGCTTGGAATTCGTGGGAGGCCTTCCAGGGTCCTCTTGAAGGCAGTTTTGGAAGCCTCTTGGGGGCCGTCTGGGGTTCCCTTGGGGTATCTTTTGGGGCTGCTTCTTTTGGGCCTCGTGGGCCCCCCAGGGGGCCCCTTGGGCTCTTTTGGGGGCCTCTTGGGGCCTCTTGGGGCGGAAGGCTTGAATTGTCGGTTCGTGTTCCCACTCTTGGGCCCCTCTTGGGGCAATCTTGTGGCCCTCTTGGGCGATATTTGGCGCCTCTTGGGCCGTCTTGGGGCACTCTTGGGCCGTTTTGGGGCTCTCTTGCGCCGTCCTGGCGTCCTCTTCGGGTGCCTCTTGGGCCGTCTTGGGCTGATTCCTGGGGCCTCGTGGGCTGTCTTGGGCCGTCAGAAGCACGAACGAACGAGAACACGAACAAAAAACTTAAAACAACACCTTCAAACAACAGCTATTTATTTCGCCTTCTGAAGGTCTCGTGGGAGTTCTTTGAAGGCATTTTGTCCGTCTTGAAGCCCTCTTGGGCTGTCTTCAAGCCATGTTGGACCAATATTGGAACGCTCTTGTGCGGTCTTGGGCTCTCTTGAAACGTGATTGGGCCATCTTGGTGCCCTCTTGGACGTCTCTCAGGCCCTCTCGTCGTCCTCCCCCCCCCTTTGGCGCGTTCTGGCGCCCCCCCGACGGGCCCAGAAAGGCCGGGCACCGAATCTGTGAACTCCGGGCCACCCGGGGCCCCCTTCCCCAATCATTCATTCATTTACACACATGGATGTATGTGTATAGATATATACATATGCATACAGACACACATAAACACATACATACATACACACATACACAGATGCGTACATACATACATCCATATATATACAGACATACAAACAGACATATATACATGCTTCGATTTTGCATGTTCCTGCCAGGCTACAAGTTCTTTTGGGCGGCGCTTGGCAAGCGAGCAGGATTGCGAAAGAAACGCGCGCAGACAGACCTGGAAACTCTCCACGGAATCATTCCGAGAGCGGTGAAAAGAGAAAAAGGAGGTGAAAGGGGACGGACGGTGGGCCGAGAGAAAAAGCTTGAACCCCGATGATTCCAAAACATTGAGACGTTGAGACGGCAGCGCATCAACAAGTCTCACCGTGCTCCTGAATGCACATGTCATGCTTCGCGTTTCTATGTTCCTGCCAGGATGCAGGTTCTTTCAGGGCGGCGCTTGGCAACTGAGCAGGATTGCGAGAGAGACGCGCGCAGGCAGACCTGGAAACTCTCCCGCACCCACTTCCAGGATGGGTTCTGGGCAAAAACCCGCATGCAGCTGTCATGGGGGCCCATCCATCACCTCAACCAGCGATTTGTGAGAGCATCTTGGAAAGCGTTGGCCACCTGCTCGCAGGATGTTTTAGGATGCTCTTGCAAGCCTGAAGTGCGCCACTTCCCTGATGGGGTCTTTGCCACGCAGCTGCGCATGACTCTACCCGCACAGGTGCGCAAGCCTTTGCACCCAGAACAACGGCGATAAAAGGACGCTGGCTTAGGAAAGTGCCACGCTAGCAGGCCAGTGGATTTCCTCCAGCGCGCGCCAAAGCCGCGCTGGTCAAATACCAGAAAAACTCCTTCGAACTGATTCCTTAGTCGAATCAACCTGGGATGAAGCCAGGGGCGAGACAAGGGAGGATTATCAGTGACAACGAGGGGGGCGAGCGGAAGCACAGCCTCAAAGAAAATGCACATAGTCAACCACCCTATTGCCCAACTCAACATCGCGCCTATCCGAAGGCGAAAGGGTCGGGATACCAGGCAGATCCCCACCGTCATCTCTGATCCTGCGCCTCCGCGGCAGGCCTCGGACGCTGGGCCGCGCCGAGCAAGCGATAGAAATCCACGCTCCGAGGCACCGCGCTGACGGGCCCTTTTCTCCACCCCGCGGCGGCGAACAGGCGCGCGCGTCGAGACATGATGGCCCGGGGCACCCGTCTGGCCAACCGCTTCACTTTCTGCGAGCTCGAGAGGTCCGCTTCGTCACTGCAGAGCGCGCCCCACGTCGAGCCCTCGACCCACCTGCTCGCGAGCGCTTGGCTGATGCCCGCGGCGCCCGCGCAGAGGTCAAGGTCGCGGCGCGGCGGGCCCGGGCCCGGGGCGCAGCCGAAGGGCTGCGAGCTCGCCCGACTCAGGATCCAGGCGACGGCCTCGCGGGCCTGGAGCTGTTGCGCAGCCGAGAAGCGGCCCCACTCCCGTTGGGCCCCGGCGCTCGCCTCGTAGCGCCAGACCGCGCCCTCGGCGAGCCAGCGCCCGCGTCGCGGGATCTCCGGCCGCCGGCAGCGCGCCGCGAGCCGATCGTGGGAAGGACCTCTGCGCCTCAGCTAGCACCGCGCGCGCCTCGCGTCGGCGGGGAAGCCCAGCCGGTGCATGGCCGCCTTCCAGAGCGACAGATGGGCGGGCGGCCCGATGTTGAGCAGCCCCCTGGCGGGGTCGCCCGTCTTGAGCTCGGCGACGCACTCGCCCAGCCCTGGGAGGTGCGAGGTGTCGAGCAGGAAGCTCTTGTTGTCGCAGAGGCCGACATTCGACTTCTCGCCGCGCTCGGCCGCGCGGAGGCTCAGAGCCCACCACTGGCTGCTCGCGCTCGGCGGGCAGAGGTCCCCCTCCTTCAGCTAGCGCAGGTCGATCGGCCGCAGGCGCGCGCGAGGCAAGCGACGACCGACTTCGTCACATCGGCCAGGTGCCTCGCGAGCCAGCGGGCGATTTCCCGCGGGATGGGCGGCGCCGCGACGCCTGGGTCGAGGTCGGCGAAGCCCTTGACCGCCCCCTGGAATCGAGGCGGGCGCAACTTCCCCCATGGCGACAAATGCGCAAAATGCCACACCGCCTCGGCGCACGCCGTGAGAAGACCAGCCTTCTCGAAGCCTTCTAGAGACAAATCGTCCGCGAAGTCCGTCGTTGCATCGTCCACGCTCTTGACGGAGTCCAGCGCGCGACCCATCGAGGTCGCAAAATCCTGGAGCTCCTTGGGCCAGGCATTGTAGAGGCCCCCCGTCGTACTCGCGATGGCATGCGACTCCAGAATGGAGGGGGGGCTGTCCGCCACGCGCGGGTGGAAGGCGCCGAAGGTCTCCGCCCTCTTGGTCATCCTCTCCTCGCGGTTGGCAGAGGCCGCGAGGTGACGGGCGCCCCTCCGAGGCAGGCGGACCCCCGCTGGCGGCTGAACCCCGCCCGGGGCCTCGCGGTGGAGCCTGGAGGTGACGCCCGAGGAGCGGGCGGCGACCGCGGCTCTCGCAGCGCCCCTGGCGGACGCCCTCGGCTTGGAGAGGCCGAGGCCGAGAACCCGAGCGCCCCCCCCCCCCCCTTCGGGGGCAGCGTCGCCCGCCCCAGCTTCCCCGCCCCCCCCCCCCCACCACACTGCCGCGAGAGGCCATCCGCCATGTTCTTCTCAGAAAGCGGAAGTGCCACTTGGCACAGCTAACAATGGACAGAGCCGAAGCGCGACGGACAAGGATGAGGATGGAGAACGATGCAGCTCGAGATTCCCCAAAGGCTGGCCCCCTATGATCAGGCGGTGCCTCTTGAAACCTAAGGCCATGTCTAATTCCCAAGACGGTGGCCCGCGCTTCCAGAGTAGGCATGTTCTCAAGATTCTTAAGCCTCGTGGAAGTATCCCCTCGCCACAGAGCCTGGTCTAACATGCCGTTCGGGACGTCCTGGAAGTACGGATTCGCCTCGAGCATCTCCAGTGCACCTCCGGGGCCCTCAGGGGGCACCGAGCTTGGGTCCGAGAGTACATCCATTTTTGCATGGGCAGTGCGACGACGTCGACACAGCGGGCGATTGCCTCGGCATCGCCACCGTTCTGAGATGCGGCCAACGTCCGCAAGCCTGCCGGCGTCGACATCGGCGGAGGCGGCCCCCGCCCCTGTCTCGCATGCATCGGCCATTATCACCCGAGAGTACTGGGCCATCGTCAGGTCAGCAGCACAGACGCCAACGAGGCCCCTGATCCAGAGAGCCTCTTTGCGTTGTCCGCGCTCGCTGTCTGCCCGCGCCAACCATCCGGGTGAAATCATACGTGGGGCGAAGGGCGGACAGCGCTTCACGTCGAATAAGGAGAATGTCCACGACGCGCCCAGCCCATCTTTGAACAGCATGTCCAGACAGGCAGGCACTACTTTGAATTACTTTGCAGAACATGGCGAGCCGCTCGGCCCGCTCAGGCTTGTTGTGAACAATCCACTTCTCTCCGTCAATCACTTGGCCCAGTGGGGCGACCTTGGTAGAGGCTCCTCCTCGTGCATAGGGGTGCCCTTTGACCTGAGATGAGCAGCGACCTTATCCCAGGCCTCCCGCAACCTCCCCTCGCCGAGACCACGGACGCCGAGGTTGTCGCAATGCGGCAACGCGCGCAACTCAGAGCCCGCATCTGGGATCGGCCCAACATCACGAATGAGAGAATAACAACACCTGCCCTTCAAGGCCTTATCGATGAGGTCACCCATGATCTTCTGCCCGAAGTAGGAAGCCCCGCTCCATCCCACCGGGGCTGATCGCAACGCAGGCCAAACGAAGTCGAGGTCATTCAAGCCGTCGGGGCCCTGCATGAAGCCCTTTGCCTCGACGAACGAGATCGGAGGCAGACAAGAACGGGGCTCGATGTCCGGATGGTTCTGGATCGCGCGAAGATAATTCTTTACACCTGCAGCGGCGTAAACAGGTTGCCCGCTCCATCGGGCTTATATCCTTGACCAGGCCCCCCCAGTACCCACGTCGAGATGCGGGGGCGGTCGAACATTGAAGTTGCCGACGCGGCAGCCCATCCCCCCCCGGAGATCGCCGCTCTTCTCGGCCACGAAAAACGGCGCGCATATCTCGCGAGGCTGGGGGGCCCATGCGACGAGAAAAGCCCCATGCAGGTCAGGCAGAAAGGTGGCGCGCTCAGCTCTGCGGGCGCAACGCAGCGCCCATGCAAGGCTTGATAGCGCTCATCTTCTCCGACCTCCAGCCCGCGTCGTCAGAATATGCCGGCGCGGTCTCTGCTGGCCGCCGTAGCCACTCCTTCTCCGTTTCACCGGCCGCCGAGGTCAGTGGAGCAGAGCTTTCCCCAACCGCTGGGGTCGACACCAGAGAGCGCTTGCGCGGCCTCACTGCGGCGCCCTGGTCGATGCCGGCATAGTCGACCACGTTGGCCAGGAGCTCTTGGACGGCCCCGCGGCGGCTGCGCGCATGCGTCGGCGACGGCGGCGAGGGGGCAAGCCCGAGCAAGGCCTCCTGCGAGACGCGCTGCGCCAGTGACGGCCGAAGGGTCTCCGGCCCCTCCTCCGCGCAGCTCATCTCGTTCAAAGCGGCGAGCGCCTCGTTGACCCCCTGCTCTACCCCGCAGCGTCGAGCCGACCTCCTCCGCGCGCAGCGCGCGGGCCCAGAGGAGGTGGGTGGGGTGACGGGGGCAGGGGGCGCAGGTAGAAGCTCTCGAGGTGGCGCGCGACGAAACTCAGACGCTGTTGGCCCAAGCTGCCCAGTCATAGAACCCCGACCCAAGCGATCGCGGTGCTCGGGTTCACATGCATTGGCCTCCGCGCGAGCGGGGGTCGGCCATCCCCCGCGCCCGCCACCCCTAAGGGCGGGTGTTCCTCCTTCTTGTCTTTCTGGTTCGGCTACCTGCGCAGCCACTGCTCCTCCTTCGCCTTCCTCGCCTCCTCGGCGACCTGAGCCTCGCCTCGCAGGCTGTCGGCGACGGGCTGGCGAAACTCAGGGGCTATGAGGACGCCCAGTCTGCGTGTAGACCGGCCCATGTAGTGATCGGCCACACTGCAATCTGCAGCACCGCCTGCCCCACTGTGGGCATGCGCACCATCGATGAGCTTGGGCCTACGCGCAACCAGCTCTCCCGACCGAAGACTCGGAACGTCGAGCTGTTCCACGCGCGCCATCGCCTCCAGGATGTGGGACAGAGCCTCGTGCTCGTACTGGGACCTGTCCTGTCCTGGATCTTGGCAGCAACCCTCCAATGCTCCGAATGCGTCACAGGCGTATGGGACAGGGAAGCGGTGCCCTGCAGGCGGTGCCAGCTCGTGCGAGGGCCTGTCATATCAAGGCCCCCCATCAGGCATGTCATCAGTCATGTGGGCCACAGCATCGGCAAACGTCCGACGGCGGCGTCCTGCGCCATCAGAGCGGACAGGAAGGACCTTCAAAACATCGTGGATAGATTCGTCCAGGCCCTTTGGTTCTATATGTCTCATCAGGGCCACATCACCGTCCGCCGTCGGCATCACGGCCTTGTTCCCCAGGACCCTGGACTCGGCGTGCAGCTCGTCAACGACCTCCCCGCGGCGCAGCGATCCGACATCCTCGGCGACGGCCCACGCGCGGCCCGGGGGGGCCCGCTGAGGCACGGGCCCCGCCTGCCTCTTGGGGCCGTCTTGGGGGCCTCTTGGGCCGTCATAGGGCCCTCTTGGAAGCCTTTGAGCGATTTGGGGGCGACCTTGGGGGCCTCTTGGGCCGTCGGAAAGCCGAAAAGGCGCAAATGCCAAAGAACAATTATGATTTTCGCCTCTGCGGACCTTCCTGGAGGACCTCTTGGAGGCCTCTCGGGCCGTCTTGGAAGCCTCTTGGGGGCCTCTTGGGCCCATCTAAGGACGTCTTGGGTGCATATTGGGCCGTCTTGGGTGCATCTTGGGCCGTCTTGGGGGCATTTGGGGGCCATCTTTGCCGTCTTGGAAGCCATCTTGGCCGTCTTGGAGGCGTCTTGGAGGCCATCTTGGAGCCATCTGGGACGGAAAAGCCCTTTTGTAACCACCTCTGGAAGATTTTTCGGCATCCTTTCAGGTGGCCGGCGGGACGGGCCAAGGCTCCAGGGGGAGTTCTTTTGGAAAAGAAACGAACCCGATAGGATTCGGCACGCCAGGCAACCCTGCGATGAATCGACAGGGGCGGCGGATCGAAGACGCCTTCGGCGAATCACCGCCGCCCCATTCCTTTTTGGAAGCCCCTATGTGGGCGAACGTTGAGGCCAGGCCTGCCACGCTATCGGATCATGCGTTCCCCGAATCGGTTTCTTGGAGGACGTCGTGGAGGCATCTTGGGGCCATCTTAGCCGTCTTGGAGGCCATCTTGGCCGTCTTGGAAGCATCTTGGAAGCCATCTTAGGCTATCTTGGAGCCGTCTGGAGCAGGAAAACACACGGCAACCACCTCCGGAAGAGCCTCGGGGGACCCTGGCGGGACGCGCCGAAGGCCCAGGGGGAGTTCGTCTGGAAAACAACAAAAACCAAAAGCGAGAGGGTCTAGCACGCCAGGTGCCCCTGTGATGAATCAGCAGGGGGCGGCGGATCGAAGACGCCTACGGCGAATCACCGCCGCCCCCTGCCTTTTTGGAAGCGCCTATGTGGCCGAACGTTGAGGCCCGACCTGCCAAGCTATCGGATCATGCGTTCCCCGAATCGGTTTGGAAAGCCTTCGGGGGACACATGGGCATCTTGAAGGTCATCTTGGCCGTCTGGAGGTCGTTTTGACCCTTTCGGGTCTTCTTGGAGGACGTCTTGGAGGGCTCTTGGGCCGTCTTGGAGGCCATCTTGAGCGTCTTGGAGACCTCTTGGGCCGTCTTGGGGGCCTCTTGGGGCCCTCTTGGGCGATCTTTGGGGGCACTTGGGCCGTTTCGGGCCGTCGGACGGCCGTATAAAGCAAATGCCACAATCCTTCAAAAACTCAAGGGGAATCAATGATGTTGGCCTTTTCGGGCCTCCCTGGAGGCCCTCTTGGAGGCCTCTTGGGCCGTCTTGGGCAATCTTAGGGCCATGTTCAGCCGTCTTGGTGGGCTCCTGGTCCGTCTGACGCCGTCGGAAGCCGTTTGGGGGGCCTCTATGGGCCGACATGGGGCCTTCTTGGAATGCTCCAGGGCCGTCTTGGAGACCATCTTGGGCGTCTTAAAGGCCTCCTGTGCCGTCTGGGGGGCCTCTTGGGGCCGTCTTGGGGCCCTCTTGGGCCGTTCTGGGGCCATCTTGGAGGCCTCTTGGGCGATCTTTCGGCGATCTTTGGGGGCTCTTGGGCCGTCTCGGGCCGTCGGAAGGCCGAAGAGAAGCAAATGTCAAATCCGTCAAAAACCTGAAGGCAATCAATGTTTTTGGCCTCTTCTGGCCTTCCTGGAGGCCCTCTTGGGGGCCTCTTGGGACGTCTTGGGCCAGCTTCGAGCCAACTTCGGCCATCTTGGTGGGTTCCTGGCACGTCTGATGCCGTCGGGAGCAGTCTTGGGGGCCTTTCTGGGCCGACTTGGGGCGCTTCGGGGCCATCTTGGAAGCCATATTGGGCGTCTCGGAGGCCATCTTAGGCGTGTTGGAGGCCTCCTGGGCCGTCTTGGGGCCCTCTTGGGGCCGTCTTGGAGGCCATTTGGGCCGTCATGGAGCCCTCTTGGGGGCCTCTTGGGCGATCTTGGGAGCCTCTTTGGCCGTCTTGGGCCGTCGGAAAGCCGAAGAGGCGCAACTGCCAGAATCCTTCAAAAACCGAAAGACAATCAATGATGTTGGCCTCGTCGGCCCTTCCTGGAGGACCTCTTGGAGACCTCTTGGGCCGTCTTGGAGGCCTCTTGCGGGCCATTTGGACTGTCTTAGACCATCTTGAGGCCATCTTGGGCCGTCTTGGGTGCATCTTGGAACCATCTTAGCCGTCTTTGAGGCCATTTTGGCCGTCTTGGAGCAACTTGGAGGCCATCCTGGGACATTTTGGCCGTCTTGGAAGCAATCTTGGGGCCGTCTGGGGCAAGAAAACTGTTTGCAACCACCTCTTCTGGGTGGCCGGCGGGACGGGCCGAAGCCCCAGGGGGAGTTCTTCTGGAAAAAGAACCAAAACCAAACGTCATGTCGTTCGGCACGCCAGGCACCCCTGTGATGAATCAGCAGGGGGCGGCGGATCGAAGACGCCTACGGCGAATCACCGCCGCCCCCTGCCTTTTTGGAAGCGCCTATGTGGCCGAACGTTGAGGCCAGACCTGCCAAGCTATCGGACCATGCGTTACCCGAATCGGTTTGGAAAGCCTTCGGGAAAGACGTGGGCATCTTGAAGGTCATCTTGGCCGTCTGGAGGCCATTTTGACCCTTTTCGGGTCTTCTTGGAGGACGTCTTGGAGGGCTCTTGGGCCGTCTTGGAGGCCATCTTGAGCGTCTTGGAGGCCTCTTGGGCCGTTTTGGGGGCCTCTTGGGGCCGTCTTGGGCGATCTTTGGGGGCACTTGGGCCGTCTCGGGCCGTCAGAAGGCAGACAAAAAAGCAAATGCCACAATCCGTCAATTAGCCTGACGAAGGACCCAACCATGTGCAGTTGTGAATACCGCAGTTGTGAATACCATCTTCACTCGCGCTCCCTATGGGGCCACGAACCGTGTGAGGGGCGTGCCGAAATTCGTCACGGGGTACACGATACGAACAAAGACGGTCGGTCTGAGTGCGAGAGGCTAAGAACGGGTGAGCCTGAGCGCGAGTGAGTCTGATTGTGAATGAGTCTGCGTGCGAATCAGTCTACGTACATAAATGTGGACGCTCCTCCCGAGGATCGCGCCCGCTTCCTTCCCTTTCTTCTCTGCATCTTTGCCCGTGCGCGCCGATGTCCATGGCTGCTGGCGCGGCGCCGCACGGAATCCCCGCGACGCGCGCTGGTCGCCCCGAAGGGGTCCCGGCGACGCGCGCAGGTCGTCCGCTGTGCGCAGCGGGGAGAGCGAGCAGGCTGGCTGATAGCGGGCAAGCCTGTGGCCGCTGGGCAGAGAGACGACGGGGGCGAGCGAGGCTCTGGTCAGAGCGCAGCGCGAAATTCCCGGGACGCGCGCTGGTCGCCCCGAGAGGGTCCCAGCGACGCGCGCAGGTTGCCCGCGGCGCGAAGCCAAACAGTCAGACCGTCGAGAGACGGCGAGGCTCGGGCGGGCCGCTCCTCAGGTCAAGCCTCGCGGATAAACTCGGTGAAGCCCAGCTCCCTGGCGAGGGCCGTCGCCTCCCTTCTGCACCGCCTCGTGCGCGCAGCAAACTGCTCCAGCTGCTTCCGCAAGCCCTCCGGCGGCCCTGCCAGGAAGAACTCGATGCGCGGCGCCCGCATGAGCAGGAGGTCCTCGTGGCGCGTGGCGCGCGAGAGCAGGACGTAGAGCTCCAGCCTCCTCCTCCTCCTCCTCCTCCTCCTCCTCCTCCTCCTCCTCCTCCTCCTCCTCCTCCCCCTCCTCCTCGCCACGCTTTCCTAAGTGATGCTGGGTGGGGGACAGGCAAACCTGTGTCCTAGGTGGAGCCCCCCATGGGGCCACGAAACGCTGTCCTGGGTGGGGGAGACGCATGCGAACACCCTTATTGGGACCTTCGGTGGAGCTCCCGATGGGGCCACGAAGCGCTGTCCTGGGTGGGGGAGACGCATGCGAACACCCCTACTGGGACCTTCGGTGGAGCTCCCATGGGGCCACGAAACGCTGTCCTGGGTGGGGGAGACGCATGCGAACACCCCCAGTGGGACCTTCGGTGGAGCTCCCATGGGGCCACGAAATGGGTGTCCTGGGCGATGCCACGAATGTGGGTGGGAGACGCATGCGAACACCCCATTGGGACCTTCGGTGGAGCTCCCTATGGGGCCACGAAACGCTGTCCTGGGTGGGGGAGACGCATGCGAACACCCTATTGGGACCTTCGGTGGAGCTCCCTATGGGGCCACGAAACGCTGTCCTGGGTGGGGGAGACGCATGCGAACACCCCTACTGGGACCTTCGGTGGAGCTCCCTACGGGGCCACGAAACAGTGTCCTGGGTGGGGGAGACGCATGCGAACACCCCCACTTGGGCCTTCGGTGGAGCTTCCTATGGGGCCACGAAACGCTGTCCTGGGTGGGGGAGACGCATGCAAACACACCCAGTGGGACCTTCGGTGGAGCTCCCTATGGGGCCACGAAACGCTGTCCTGGGTGGGGGAGACGCATGCGAACACCCCTACTGGGACCTTCGGTGGAGCTCCCTATGTATGGGGCCACGAAACGCTGTCCTGCGTGGGGGAGACGCATGCGAACACCCCTATTGGGACCTTCAGTGGAGCTCCCTAT